ACCACAAAGACCTCATGCAGATGACGATTACAACATATATTAACGGTTAAACCAGTGGATGAAGAGGGCTACGCATTATGGACATGCTATAGAAGGCGCAACTCAAAATTATAACAGAGTCCGTTGCATTTTCATAACTGGATTCTTCATATTTCTCCCCATATGTGCCGCAGAGGAAGGTTATGGCATCAAGTGTGTGGGTCACTTTCTGGTCTACCTTGAACAAATTTACGCCATTGGCACTTTAATCTAGTCTGATTTGATTTCACTTCAAACTGTCTCTTGAAAAGCTAAATGGATGATGAGCGCAGTTATTAGTGAAACTGAAGTTTTCTAGCATTGAATCTGCAAGAAGAGAATTTAGTCATCAATACCATCATAAAGGAAGCGATCAGCAAAGATGAAATTAAATTCTTGAATACAAGAGAAAGCCGACACCATTTTTACATGCCTTTCTCTTAGCAATTTCGATAATAGAGTGAGGATATCCAACGTGAACGATATCAAATAAGAACCAACACAAAATACCAATGAAAGCCACTGGGCCTGAGCCTAAATCATTTGAAGAATAATACCGTCCCAATTGGCGATGTTGTATCAGCTTCGGAAGCAAAATTTTCTAAACAGCCAGAAGAGAAAAGGCGGAAGTCAAACGACAAAAGAGAAAGACTCGACAAAATCAACCTTGTCCTCCACCAATATTACTATACAGTCAATACCATCGGTTCTTCCATGCAAGAATTCCTCTATTTATTCATCAATGCTATCATCATCATAATAAAGGAAGCGATCAACAAAGATGAAATTAAATTCTTGAATACGAGATAAAACCAACGACAACAACAGATTATCCGTGTTACAGCAACATTTTGTTAAAGTTGTTAAACTGATATATTTAAAGATGCGATAGAAGAATTTCCAAGAATTTTTCCAAGAATTTCTTAAATTCTTACAACTAGCAAGCAGCTTACTCAGTCATTCAATTATGAATTATGATTCATTAGAAAATTCAAATAGGAAAATAGTATAATTTTCACAGACACTGGTAGTATTTACAAGTATTGTGAAATTCAGATTATGTCGACCACACGGCAGTGAATGAAATTCACTAAACTTATAATAGTCCGACACAAGACCTTTAGGAGGTAGAAAGATTGTATTGGATTAATCTACCAATACGGTGGGGTTTGCTGACATTAATCCTTGGGACACGCAGAGCTGAATAAAATCGTTATCGTTTAACCTCGAGTTAGTTAAGAAGGAACCAAATATTGATTGATTGATATTTAAGTTTCGTGAAGATGAAGGTGCGGTGGGCCTAATGGTCATTGTCGCCAGATGGTTCCCGCTTCGGTTAATTTTGGTTTATTATATCGTAAAATTGAATCTCTGAATAAATTCCAATTGTAGCCGCTTGCATTCATTTCGCCCAAACAATCTTGAAGAAAGACATGAGTCCATCTGGTTTGACAGTGGTTCCCACAATACAAGGCCCAAGAGCCACTCAAAATAAAAGGTTACTGATTGAAGTTGTTGAAAGTAAATAATGGATAGCCTGAGACATGAAGAGGTTAAGTTATCGGGGAAACATCCTCTGGGGATTCTGTTCCACAAAGTATCGGTCCTTGGGAAGGAGTTATCCGAATAGAACTTCTTCCGTACTAATGGAATATGAAGGCGATACAAATAGTAAATGAGCATCTAACAGAATGGTTATCATCTTCTAGTAAACAATTTGTGACCTTATCTGGTGAGGAAACAACTCAGTTGTTGGGGTAAATTCAGGAGATCACTTTTATGATATATTTTTGAATAGATCGAGATAAATATAAACAGAGTGAAATAGATTGTTTAAAATTATAAAAGCAAGGCAATAAAGCCACTAAGACGCAAGGGGGGTATTAATATTAAGGAGAGAGGACAATAAAAAAGCAAGAATTAAGAAGACATAAGATAATGATTGGCATTGCATTTAAATTTTTGAAGATCAAACTTGACTGGGAAGCAAGAAGCCGAAAGAGAGTTCCTAAAATGAGAAGTGCGAGAGAAGAAACTGTTAACATAGAACTTACGGTTACATCCAGCCGTTTGAACTGTAAAATGATATCTTTTCGCCAATTCATTACTGACCTTGAATTCATAAAATCTAAGTACCGTGGCGGAAAGTAATATATATTCTGTTATGTAGAGGAATGTGGCACATGGCCGAAAGGACGGTCTTCTTCGCTCTTAACTATAACTTAGCTAAACACAAACGCTGACCCAATCGTACAAAACAATATTCCTTACACCAAAACAACTCATTCATACTTACCTTTCTTATTACAATCACCATAATACCTCTTTGTCTCTATGAAAATAATAACCAGTCCCTATATTTACAATTTATTGTCTGTGGAGGGAGGGGAATAAAACAACAATGGCGGAAAGTTCATCAGAACAATCACCATGAAAGTATTTATAGAAATGGCAGAAGAAAAGTACGTTAGCTAGAAATATAGATATCAACATAAGATAAAATAGATGTAAACCGGGTGAGATAGATAGATAGATAGATAGATAGATATATATATATATATATATATATATATATATATATATATATATATATTTGAATAAAAAGACAGACCACGTTAAGATTCCATGTAATAAGCTATTTCACCATAACCCCTTTAACAGGGGTTCTGGATCATCAGACTTTTACTTCCAAAAAGCTGAAATGAAAAATGAAAAGAAATTCACACGTTTTTTCGGACCTCATCAAGTATACGCAAAGTTAACGAAGTGAGGAAGTGAGGTGGGAGAGAGGATATGAGTGTGTCATATGTATCATTTTAGTTTCCTATTTTAACCCCAGTGTGTCGGCTGGATGTTGCTCAAATTTAACGCGTCTCGTCTCTAGATAAAGGTGGTTAAGGGGTGAGCGATAAGAACTACCTTAAAGGGAGACGTTCCAACAACCCCAATAAATTACACGACAGGTTTCATTCAAATTCTTAGACGCTGTCAGTTCGCGTTACTTTAACGTGCATATTTGGGAGGTTAAGGTTTGATAAATATCTAAATTTTCAAACAATCTACGAAGAAATTAATTTGAAATTCGGTGGAGTTTTGGGTCTTTTCTATGAAGCAGTCGATTGGAAAATCCATAGACAGAATATATGGGTGTGTGTATGTATGTGTATATGTGTATACGTATGGATGTGTAAATATATATATATATATGTGCGTATGAGTATATATGGATATGCAGATGTCCGTGTGTGTATATGTATATATGTAAGTATAAGTATACATGGAGATAGGTATGGAGACATGTGGATGTGCGTTTTTATCTGCAGGTGTATATGTGTAAAGATGGAAATATACATATATCGTTTCGTGTGAATGTGTGTGTAGGTGTATATAGGAACTCATAGGCATATAAGACGATATAGGTATGTGGTTACAAATAGGGGTTTAAGACATGTGAAGATAAGAAATTGTAAAAGAAGGGCCTAATTTTCTGCTAGTGATATCTCTTCCAAATTTCTCCTCTAATATTCTCCAATTGGAAGTGAATTTAAATAGCACGAAGGGAAAGTTTTAGATTAGTATTTTAATTGAGATTGAAAGATACTACCCCAATGTGGAAAATAAAATTATTTAAATGGGAATAACTGTTGATAACTGGATACATAAAAACAACCACGAGTTTACTTAATGAACAAAAATCAAACGAATAAATGTCAACCTAACAAGCTATAAGATAAAAGATATAGGAAAAAAGTACTAAATATAAATTGGATTACTCTTTCAATGTTCTGTCTATGGATTTTCCAATCGACTGCTTCATAGAAAAGACCCAAAACTCCACCGAATTTCAAATTAATTTCTTCGTAGATTGTTTGAAAATTTAGATATTTATCAAACCTTAACCTCCCAAATATGCACGTTAAAGTAACGCGAACTGACAGCGTCTAAGAATTTGAATGAAACCTGTCGTGTAATTTATTGGGGTTGTTGGAACGTCTCCCTTTAAGGTAGTTCTTATCGCTCACCCCTTAACCACCTTTATCTAGAGACGAGACGCGTTAAATTTGAGCAACATCCAGCCGACACACTGGGGTTAAAATAGGAAACTAAAATGATACATATGACACACTCATATCCTCTCTCCCACCTCACTTCCTCACTTCGTTAACTTTGCGTATACTTGATGAGGTCCGTAAAAAACGTGTGAATTTCTTTTCATTCTTCATTTCAGCTTTTGGAAGTAAAGTCTGATGATCCAGAACCCTGTTAAAGGGGTTATGGTGAAATAGCTTATTACATGGAATCTTAACGTGGTCTGTCTTTTATTCAAACATATATGCTCTGAATTTTACATTGAGCTCTCTGGATATCATCCTCCTCAGGTCTACCCATACGGATTACCTAAATTTGCATAAACTATATATATATATATATATATATATATATATATATATATAGGGATAGATAATTCAAACGGCTAGATATGAGCAAGCGTATACGCGCGTGCTGGTGTGCATACGCAAGCAAACAGATCATCACCAAATTTATACATGAGGTGCAAACATAATAGTGCTCAATTTGGTTAGACACTAATTAATAAATATACTTTTTGGTGTGCGACCTAAGTTTCGCTGAATTACAGCTCGCCAGGCACGAAGTCTATGTTGATAAAAGTAAACAAATGGCAACATAGACCTTGTGTCAAACGAACTGTAATTCAGTGAAATTTACGTCGTACACCAACACGTAAAATACTAGTATATGTACTAATTAATATATATATATATATATATATATATATATATATATATATATATATATATATATATTGAATAAATATATATATATACAGATTGAATAAATGACAGACTATATATAATAATTTTAAATAAAATCCGTTTATACACACGAATAACGTTCTGTGTATTGATGAGGGCGGAATAGATTGATAGATGTGATCATACTTATATAGATAATGATCAGACTGAGACATACAGATTGATAGAGAGGAAAAAATTGAAGATAGATAGATAGATAGATAGATAGATAGATAGATAGATAGATAGATAGATGGAATGACCGAGATAGATAGATAGATAGATAGATAGATAGATAGATAGATATAAACAGCGCAAAATAGATAGATAGATAGATAGATGGAATGACCGAGATAGATAGATAGAAAGATAGATATAAACAGCGTAAAATAGATAGATAGATATAAATAGGGTGCAATAGATAGATAGATAGATAGATAGATAGATAGATAGATAGATAGATATGATCAGACTTATATAGATAATAATCAAACTGAGATATACAGATAGATAGATAGATAGATAGATAGATAGATAGATAGATAGATATAAACAGGGTGAAATAGATAGATAGATAGATAGATAGATAGATATAAACAGGGTGAAATAGATAGATAGATAGATAGATAGATAGATAGATAGATAGATATATAGATATAAACAGGGTGAAATAGATAGATAGATAGATCGACAGATAGATAGATAGATATAAATAGGATATGATCAGACATATAAATAATAATCAAACTGAGGTAGATAGATAGATGTGAACACCCAGAGACGTATCGATATGAAAATGATGGGTCACTAGATCTATTGTGCTTAACTATTTGGAAGCAACAGTTAAGATATCTAGCGATAAATTTCTTTATTCTAATGTGGCTCTCAATATATTTCGTTAGTATAACGACAAACGTATATATTCCGACCTATGTTTAAATATGCGGTAGATGTATAATGAGTGGGTTAGAAGTGTTTTAATATGATATCACAGCATCTTATTTTCATACGATGAAATAGCTCGTATTGAACACTGAAGTCGTGTCTTTCCCATCGAAACTTGGCAGTCAGTGTTCGAAAGGCGAAAAAAACAAAACAAAAAAACAACAACAACAACAAAAAACAACAAAACAAAAAAAAAAACAACCCAAAATTGGTCGATTTTTTAAATATATGTAAGCCATGCCCAATCTAAAAATTGGCAAAACACAATCTGATGCTTGTGCCAGATGAAAATAATTTTAATGAATGCACACCTGGTATAACGGCGAGTTAATGAAGTTTATTTCCCTTCTCAGAAGTGGAGGACATTAAGAAAAATGTTCTCTAATGATATAAGTTAATTAATTAAGACAAAGTTCGTTTATGATTAGGGCTGGACCTAAATGCGTTAAAAAGAGAATTGTTATAAAAACGGAGTAATCTTTTAAATGCGGTAGGTGTTATCTTTTCGCTTGTTACAAAAACAGACATTTATTGACGGAAGAAAAACGTTTTGTGCTTTGCAGCGTTTCATAATTAATCTTGTTTCATTAATTAATCTTTTATCTTTTTAGTGCTGCTGCTTTTATAAGCTTTTTGTGTATGACTTTACTTCTATTCTGAGAAGAATAACTGTTCCTTAATAAGATAAATCTCTTTCTTAGAAAATGTATTTAGCAGAAAACTTAACTGGAAATTGCCGATATGTAAAATTCAATTACCTTTATTGCGGACGAAAAAGAAGGAAAAAAAAACAAACAATAAAAATATGCATAACGCTGTCGGAAATATATAATTAAATTATAATAACTAACCTCATCATCGCTAAAAATCCATAAAAGCCTAAAGAATGCACTGCACATATATCACCTAATGCTAATCATAGAATTGCATTCTTTCTGATGCATGAGCATCAAATTCGTACCTCGGACATAAAACCACTACTATATCCTGCAGGTTAATTGAAACCTCGCAAAACACAGGACATTCGACCCTCGTCTCAATAATCACAAACATAAAACCCATATACTCATATAAAATTACACACACCCACATATACAAGTAAACAAACATAAATACACTGACACCGAAAGAGTAAATTCCGCTTAATGAAGGTATTCTTTTATTTGAAACAATCTTGAAAGTTACGCTACTTTTAATAAATTCCGTTAGTTGTTTAGGAAGCCAAGGCGTTTAACTGAGCAAGCATGAGCGTACGAAAATGACTCTGGTCATTGCTGACTCGCAAGGCACATAGCGTAGGGCAGGCAAGTTTCGATATGTATTCATTGTGAGTAGTCTCTTATCTATCAATACACACACACATTATATATATATATATATATATATATATATATATATATATATATATATATATATATATATATATATATATATTATGAAATGGACAAAGTCCGACAATTATTTTAAGACATTTTTTTATTTTTATATGTTCTTTTTATAGATACAAACTTTTACTTTCTTTCTTCCAGAGATTTTTTAATTGAAAAACACGTGTCATTAACTATCGGTAAGGAGTTCAATTCTTAAGGGGTGCTAAACAGCTATGGTCATCTGCTGGACTAGTTAAGCTTAATAAATGTTTACTTGTTGCTTCTAGGAATATTTAACGAGCTATTCAGTAAAAGCTGCTGCTAGTGAATTCAATACAAGCTAACGAGGACCCACAGTTAACTTGTACATTCCGCATTTACCTATCTATAATTCTTTGTCGCTTCTTTTATAGCCAAAGTTATTCATTTAGTTCTGGTGTAAATATCGTATTAGGTCACGCCCTTTTCTCGATTTATTTGATTTTGTGAGAATTCAATTAAGATATGCCACAGAAGTCCAACAATAAGAAGTATTGAACGAACGTTTGATAGAATCACTTGTCGTCAGCCGGGCACTCCTACGCAGCAAGTACACACGAGTTATAATGCGAAGGAGTCAGACAAGGGTTATACACCTGACCACGAGCAGAGAAGACTGAGCTTGACGTACTTTACAATTTATCCACTCCGACTGCCCGAAGCATTCATAACTCAAGAGATGTCCATTGACTTTTCTTCTTAACTGTTTATGTCCACCGGCCAAGTGACCGATTGTCCGGAGTTCAATAGTACTAAATTTACCATCGCACTATAGCTGCATCAAGACATTAGAACTTAACAAAATTTCGTGGCAATTTGCAATGCTTAGAGACTTGTTTTAGTCTCAATTTTTGAATGTTTAAAGAGAAACAGTAAATTCTTGAATACTACTATCACTACTACTACTACTACTACTATTACTGCTACTACTATTACTACGACTACTACTATTACTACTACTATTACTACGACTACTACTATTACTACGACTACTACTACTAATACTACGACTACTACTATTACTACGACTACTACTACTAATACTACTATTGCTACGACTACTACTATTACTTCGACGGCTACTACTAATAAGATGATGATGATGATGGTGGTGGTGGTGATTTTTTACAGTAAGTTTCATCTTATACGAGGCCCGGAGTGCTGTTATTTTTCTCTGCTATTTATACATACAGGTCAGTGGTGCATTTTGGGTAGTCTATTTTGACGGTTATTTTACCGAAAATCGTTTATTTGTTTGTTTATTTATTTGGGTTAAATTATTTTGTTTGTCATTTATTTTTATTTTATATTTTTATTTTTTATTTTTATTTCTTATCTTATATATTTATTTTTTTATTTTAATTTTAATCGATGTTTTTTATTAACGTTTTTATTATATATATATATATATATATATATATATATATATATAATGATACAATATGGTAATATTCTTATATATATATATATATATATATATATATATATATATATATATATATATATATATATCATTAATATATATATATATATATTAATGATACAATATGGTAATCCGTATGGATATAGATCCAGGCAGAGCTCTATGTCAAAAGACAGAGCAAAATTATTATTAATTAAAGAATATCAAACACTTAAAATCCCATAGGTAATAATTTTTATTTCACGAGAGCTCTAAAAATAGCAGCTCTCAATCTTCACCTACAAACAAATCACAAATTTTGTGATTTGTTTTTTTGTTGTTTTATATATATATATATATATATATATATATATATATATATATATATATATATATATATATATATAGTTTTAAGTTACGCTGTATTTATGGGATAAAGTGCTCAATTTCAGAGATAGAGCGTACGTAAATATAACAATGAACATTGAAGTCAACACTCAGAGGCGACATGTGGCTTCATGTTTCCATGAAACAGTCGATCGCCCTTGAGCGTTGACTGATGTTCTACAATATTATATATATATATATATATATATATATATATATATATATATATATATATATAATTTTAAGACATTTTTATGTTTATACATTCTTTTTATGGATACAAATATTTAAGTAAATGTTCTGTTTATAATAAACAGTATTAAACAACATTTACCGGCCTGAATGTCCGAGAAATGTTCACAGAAAATTTTACCTTGCGTAAGAGATTCATGGAAGATTGAAGTTTAAATACAGTAAATTCGACTTTGTTAGCCGAACGCTCCTCTGTGGCCAAATCGGTAAAGTCACGTCAAGCTAAATGACGGTTCCGTATAGGATACAGGTTCGAATCCTGTCAGAGGACGAATATTTTCTGTGAAAATGTCTCGAACATTCAGGCCGGTAAATGTTGTTTATTATAAAGAGAGCATTTACTTTAATATTTGTATCTTTAAAAAGATTGTATAAGCATAATATGTCTTAAGATAATTGTCGGACTTTGTCCATTTCATAATGTATATTATTTTAATCTAATTAAGTTACTAAAAATATCAAAAGGAAAACATATTTGTATTATAATAAAACAATTGAAATTGTTTTTAGTTCAACATTTGAAGATAACTACCGTATATTTCCACGTATAAGGCGACCTACAGATAGAACGATACCCAAAATCTCGTTAAATTTTCATGATATTATCATATCCGTAGTATAAGTCGATCGACTGGGACCCGTATGACGAAACTGTAAATGACGATGTTTATGATGAGCTCTTTACTAGTGATATTCATAGTAATTTTGAATGATTTTAATTAAGTATGTGGGTGTCTTATATTTCTTATTCTGTATTGAAAAATAAGGATTTTATGCTATCTGAAATATTTTGTTGCTTAACACTGCAAAATTACAGTCTAACGTACGTTACTGAAAAATAAAGTTTGCTCGTTATACTAAATTTTGCTTTTTAAAACCACAATCATTTTGAATTTTAATTAGAAATCTAGATTGTATGTTATCGTAAATGTTGTTATTTAAAGCTACTATGAGAAATAATGATTGGTACGAACGCAGACATCTACAAATTAAGAACGAAAGAATTGTTTACGTTTCTTGTGCAGAACTTTTGCCAATTGAGGTGTAGTCGTCTTTTCAATATTGCATAATAATGTGAAATCAAGAAATAAAAACAGTTTTATTTCATTTATAACTGTAGTACAGCATTATAATGTAAATTGTTTCAACTAGAAATATTTACATCGAGGATTACCATAACGAGGCAGTTGTTTTCCTACCGCGATCAATGGCGCAAGCATACTAGCCTATTTACCTGTGCCGATAAAGTTAGCTTTTTGTAACTGTTTTATTAGACGACCCCCTATTTTGATAGGTAATTTTTAAGATTTAAAAGCCTTATACATACGGTATTCTA